GATGCTGGAGGCAATTTAATATTTAAGGTATAAAGTGGGTGCTAGACTTGCTTAAAAAATGTTTTTGGATGAAGCAAGTGGATAGATGTACAGATTTGAAAAAAGTCACAGAAAAAATATCAACAGGAGTTGATATGCAAAGGGAAGCAGTTCTTTTCAGGGGCTCTAAGACCAAGGAGGGGAGATGTATGACCACAGCTAAGGAGAAGATAAGATTTGGTAACAGAGAACAGTGGTCAGGGAAAAATGAAAGGACTGGTTGGGATTAGGCCCTGATTTACTTTCCCCTGGTTTATTGCTCTCTGTAAAGAGGTATTTGCTCTGGCCAGTCTCTGAAGATTTGTTGTTAGTTTAGATTAAAGTATTATCACTCTCCCATAGATTGAGGTTGGTCAGATTGATTTCTTTCCACAATGACAGTAAGTGCTTCTTAAAATTTGGTAGGGATGGTGTTTTACCTGGGTGGCTGTAATACAATATTATAAACTGGGTGGCTTTAACAGCAACAACACTGCTCACAGTTGTGGACGCTGGAAGTGTGAGATCAGGGTGCCAGCATGGTCACTTGGTGCGTGTTCTCTTCTGGGTTGAAGATGAGGCTGATTTCCCATTTTATCCTCACATAGCAGAGAGACTGAGGGAGCTCTCTGGGGTCTTTTGTAAGGGCACTAATCCCATTCATGAGGGCTCTATTCTCATGACCTAATTGCCCCTCAAAGGCCTTACTTTCTGATACCATCATGTAGGGGCTGGGATTTCAGTACGTGAATTTGGGGAGCAGGTGAGGGCACAAACATTCAGTTCATAAGAGATGAAGATAATACTGAAGGCAGTGGAGTGGAGATACTAGGAGGTCAGGGAGAATGCAACCTGGGAAGGTGAGAGAGGGAACATAACTTCTGGATACTTTTGGTGGAGAAAGAAAAAGGGTGGGGGCAGAGAAAGGGGGGGGGAAGGGAGGCAAACTATTTCATAATTTTATAAAGAGACTAACCACTCATAAAGTCCCTCTGACTTACTGCCAACCTGATCTTTGTTCTTTGAAAGTATAGCTACAACTACTTATGCATTTCCTTCATTGTCCTCAAAGTGCTTAAGTACAATCAATAAATACTTGTTGATTGATTATTCTGAGTATTTCAAATCAATCCACACTTCTGGTTTTATTAAGGATCTTAGAATCGACATTGATCAAGCTGAGATAAGAACTGTCTCTAAATTTATAAGACATTTTGTGTATCTCCCTAAGGAAAGGCAAACACTTGTCCATGCCTATTTTGCATCTTACACTGTACTGGGGAGTTTACTTACATTACTGCATTTCTAGTAATTTATCATTGTTTTAACAATTACCGAGTACTCATTATATGTCAAGCCCTATGCTAGGCAATGATGATAAAAGGCAAAGAGGGAGAAACTCTGACTTTCTAGTAGTTATAGTATGATAGGGAGAAGGCAGGGTAAAGCCAACAACTGCCATGTAGTTTGAGAAGTGCAATAAAAGCAGCAAGGAGTTGGCAACAATGGAGGATGGAAAAGGTGAGCTTTAACTTAAAATAGGTAGGAAATACAGACAATAAGAAGGAAACAAGTATTTGTTGTTCGTCTGAAATGAATATTTAGCTGGGTGCCAAGAGGAGCCTGAGGAGACATGACTACATGTCATGTGATATCCTGGAGGGATCCTGGATCAGAAAAAGGACATTTAGGAAAAAACTGAAGAAACGTGAATAAAATATGGATTTTGTTTAATAATAATGTATTACTATTGGTTAATTGATTGTGACAAATATACCATACTAATGTAAGATGTTAATAATAGGGGAAATGGAATATATGAGAACTGTCTGTACTATCTGTACAATAATTCTGAAAATTAAAAACTGTTCTCAAGTAAAAAGCTTATTAAATTTTTTTAAACTGGTATCTTGTATTCCTTAGATCTAGCAACCCTAACATTGTTACTGCCACATAATAATTAAACATAAAATATGAAAAAATTATATTCAATTGATAACTTGAGATTTGAGTTACATTATATATTTCTCCTAAATATTTGATCCAAACACTTCATTTTCTATAAATAGTTCATTTATTTTATTTTTAGGCAAGCCTCCAGCAACCAAATAGTTAAACCAGGTACTATATTTCAATGAGATGCTTTGCCTCTCAGTGCCATAAACTATCACCAGTTGTAAGCAATTTCAGACCCTAAAAAAACTGGTTTAAGTCCCCCCCCACACAAACCATCAATAAAATTAATTTTAATTTGGGTTGTGCACATCTCAAGTGATTGAAAAAAATCCAGTTATGAGAAAATCAGCAAGGTTAAGGGCCTGCAAGTAATCACTTGATAATTTATGTTGTCTGAATGGAAAACAGTACTGATTATTTTACTCTCCATGTTGCTCCTCTGGAGGAAAACAACCTGTGGTTTGTGGAAGAAGTTAGAGTCTGAAATAAAAATAGAAATGTATAATGTAACAGTTTTACTTGAAGGTGAGCTTAGAAAACATCACTTATCAACCAACCAACCCAAGGAAGATGGGGCTTTTAAACAAGAGAATGAATTTGAGAACACTTGTCGGTTTCCAGATACAAGATGACCAAATATACTTTGCACAGCTTTAATTTCTGCTTGCTACCTAACAAAATTAGAAGTTAGATTCTTATTAATATGTAAGTGCAGATAACATACTAAAATAAAACTGTCTTCAAGTGGCACTAGAAATTATCGGAAGTTATATGGCTTCTCAATTTCTACTTTAAGTAGCAAGTCCCTAAAACTATTTGTGCCCCAAAAGGTATGTCATAAATTTCGCTTTGCAAGCGTGTGTGCACGCACATTTATTTTGTGCAAAAAACTATGCTGAAGAGCTTTGGTGTTATCCAGAGATAAAAAATGGTTCCTGTGCGGTTTTGTACTTTTTGAGGAGAGGGGAATCCGACGTTAAGTTAAGCTTTTGTTTATTTATATGTGTCCTGGTCTCCTGCAGAAACAACAGGCAAAAGCTTGTTTTAAAACAAACCCAATACTTTCAAGGACTTGGGTCTGTTCTGAAGCAGGACCGTGGCTTCCTGAAGAGATCTATTCACAAAGAAGGGTTAGGTCGGCTAAAGGAGCCAAAAGAGGGGTTCGTTTTGTTTTGGAACCGGACAGTGTTTCCGTAGGAGCTCGGTGAGGTACTGATCGGCGCCCCCGGAAGATCGGGCCGCTAGCGTCCGTCCGACTCCAAAGACCATAGGCCGCGGGAAGAGCCCTGCTCTGATGGACAGGAGAGGGGAGGTGGGTCCGAGCCCAACGCTTACAGACCGCCGGTCGGGGTCTTAGTGACCTCAGGCTGCCATCGACGCAGGACGAGACCCTAACCTAGCGAATGTCGCTTGCACGCCGGCTGGGCGCGCAGCCACGCAGATTGCTGCGGGCCTACGCTACTCCGGGAGCGCAAACAGACGCCGGCAGCGCCCTTTCCGGCTAGGGCAGGCGCGGTTCTAGGAGAAAGGCCGCGAGGGCGGGGCTTGGGGCAGTGTGGAACTATTTCCTCACACACTGGTCAGTCAGGGCGAGGAGAGGCTGTCAGGGCGGAGCGCCACATGGCGCGACCAAGGCCAGCCTCATCGTTGGCGGGCACCGAGGAAGCAATGTAGTGCGAGAAGCCTACAGTCCACGCCGTGGAAAGATGGGTCAACCAACGAATGTTTCACCCCAGCCCACACGCCTAAGAGGGAATTTGAGAGTGCTTGGGGGAGGGGCGGAGAGAACAGG